CAGCAGTTTGGAATGGTCTCAAAGGTTGAAATAACAGATTTCAAGTGGTAAAAATTATTAAGTATTTTTTTTAGGGTTTTTGAAAAAATCTACATTTTTGCATAATTTCTCAGTCAAAATGCACTTTAAGACATCAGAAAATTTAATTAAATGCTAAAACATGGTCCGTTTATTGTAATTGAAGGTTATCCTCAGGTGTTTTATCCATATTTTGACTTGTAAAGGTATACTGGAAGAGATCAATTATACTTACACATTGTATTCAGAATTAATAAATATAACGATAAAAGGGTCATTGCCTTAAAGTGCTGAAACAACTTTATTTTCTTTCAGAAATGAACAAAAAGAGAAATTTATTCAGAAAGTCATACTGATGAAGATCACACAAGAATATTTGGAAAAATCAGAACTATGGATTTCAATATCCCTAATGCGCCTCAACTTGAGGAACACAAAAGTTGTGCGTAAACAAAAAATCTCTGTGTAGTGATATTGGACATGTTTCTATTTCTAACAAATTACTTCGCTTAAAAATTTGTGTTAATTTGAAAAGTAGAGGACTATAGAATAAATGTGTACAAACTATGCAGTTATTAAATGTATACAAAGTATTAAATTTTCAAAGAACTTATTGTATGAAAAAAAGGGATTTTTTATCACCAGGAGCCGCATCACGAAATGATTTTCGGGGTGTGCTAATTTACGGAAAAATGAATCATACTTCTTAGATTCGAAATGAGCCATCATGCATATCTAAGTTTACGATATGGATTGTGCTACAAAGGAAAACAACACCATTACCGCCTACAAATATGTTTGTAAAATCAATTACGCATATTGCCCCAATTTACAAGATGAATTTGAGAAGTTGTCAGACTGAATTATGCATGATTGCATCTTGTACACCAGAGAAAATTGTAAAAATGAAGGTAAGTTGTCTTTTAAAAATACCTAGTTATCACAGTTGGTCCTTAATTAACATTATTTATAAAGATCAGCAACAATTTTCGCATTTGAAATGTATGACAGGCGCGGGGCTGGATCACTTCTTTAAGGCACAGTCTTTGTTTACAATTACATGCATGATCCAGACGTTGAAGGAAACCACATGTCATTGATTTGAAAAGGGGACTTAATTCTTATGGAAACATTTAGTATTGTTAAATAGTATGTCAACATGACACACTAAAGACATTGTTTTGTTATTATCATTCCAGTCTACAGGAATAGCTTATAATAATGATCAAGGGAAATAACACTCTTCGTACGAGTATAATTGAAAACAAGTGTTTAACACCAATATTTGACTATTAATTAGCAGCTGGTCATTTAAATATGCAAAAAAAAAAACAGACACACATATTTGAAGAAAGGTATAATTGCTATATTTTAATGCACAGAAGCAAATCACAAGATGTTGTCTTTTCTTTGTGAAAAGGGGTGAGGGTCAGACCTTTTTAGAAACAAGGTGCTTCACCTATTTAGCTATTAAGCTATTACCGATTATAATAAAAGGTTAAAATGAAGGTTGTGAAGTTATCAGAGAGAAGCATCTCTCTTTGATTGTGATAACACTTTGAAAAATTTGATTTTTTCTCTCTCAATAGTACAGTTTGTATTTAAATGAGAGAAAAAACAACCTGAGTCAATTGTTTGTCTTATTTCAGTTTCATACATATCATTCCAGTTTTAACCTGAGATGTCAAATTAGAGGTTTTATGAAGTTATGAATCACTGGTAAGAATTTTGTTTTATTAGACAAGCTATATATTATTTATATATGTTATTTATGCAATTCAAATTACAATCAGGATGTTGAAAATATGCTGATATGAAAACTGTTGCTATGGTCTTGATATTAAATAAAAATGCTTAGTTACTGGTTTTTTCGACTCGACATTTTGAGTTAAACCATGAGGCAACTGTCCGTTATGTAGCACTGCAAACTGTGCTTAGCATTATTTTAATCTGTCGTTATTAAATGACATCATAAAACGTGTGATGTCATAATGTTTACTTAAAAACGTAATGTGCATCTCTCATTGATAAAGGTTTTCAATGAAATACATAAAAAAAACTTTGTTGTTTTCAAATAAAATTATTTGAAAGGACATTTTTTTAAATTTGCACTTCATTGTGCTTTAATTATATAATAAATATGACATTCACAGCATTTTGGAGTGGTTTCTAAGGTTGAAATAACAGATTTCAAGCGGTAAAAATTATTAAGTATTTTTTAGGGTTTTTGATGAAATCTACATTTTTGCATAATTTCTCACTCAAAATGCACTTTAAACACCAGAAAATTTAATTAAATGCTTAAACATGGTCTGTTTATTGTAATTGAAGGTTATCCTTAGATGTTTTATCCATATTTTGACTTGTAAAGGTATACTGGAAGAGATCAATTACACTTACACATTGTATTCAGAATAGATAAATATAACGATGACAGGGTCATTGCCTTATAGTGCTAAAACAACTTTATTTTCTTTCAGAAATGAACAAAAATACACAGATGTATTTAGAAAGTCATACTGAAGAAGACCACACAAGAATATTTGGAAACTATGGATTTCAATATTGGTCAATATCCCTATGCGCCTCAACTTGAGGAACACAAAAGTTTTGCGTAAACAAAAAAATTCTATGTAGTAATATTAGACATGTTTCTATTTTTAACAAGTGACTGAGCTTAACCATTTGTGTTAATTTGAAAAGTAGAGGACCATAGAATAAATTTGTAAAAACTATGCAGTGTTTAAATGTATGCAAAGTATTTAATTTTCAAAGAACTTACTGTGTGAAAAAAGGGATTGTTTACTACCAGGAGCCGCATTACGAAAGGATTTTTTGGGTGTGCCTATTTACGGGAAAATGAATTTCACTTCGTACCATTTGACCACATATGTGAAAATGTCTCAGCTTCGAAATGAGCCATCATTCATATCCAAGTTTACGATATGGACTGTGCTACAAAAGAAAACGTTACCAGTACCGCCTAGTATGTAAAATCAACTACGCATATTGCCCCAGATAACTTATCCTACATTTTGAAAGCTAGGACGGTTTCTCTTTGCTAGCTGTTTGTACATATATTGAAAGTGTGCATGTGGTCAGGGTTTGTTTTTTATTGATATTTGCTCTTTTGGGAGATAGTTGAACTTTTTTCATTTTTGGAGTATATACTTGCATAAGAGGTGCATAGCTATTCAAGATAACTCCTCCTATAGTTTGAATGCTAGGAAGTTTTCACTTTGCTGGCTGTTTGTACATATATTGAAGGTGTGCAATCTCCTATATTCTGAATGCTAGGAAGTTTTCACTTTGCTGGCTGTTTGTACAAATATTGAAAATGTGCATGTGGTGAGGGTTTTGATTTTTATAAATAATTGCTCTTTTTGGGAGATAGTTGAACTTTGTCATTTTTGGAGTATATACTTGCATAACAGGTGCATAGCTATTCCAGATAACTCCTCCTACAGATTAAATGCTAGGAAGTTTTCACTTTGCTGGCTGTTTGTACATATATTGAAGGTGAGCATGTGGTCAGGGTTTTGATTTTTATTAATACTAGAACACACCCGCAAAATCGCGGGCATTTAGAGCGTGGTTGAAAATATGTTAACTGTTGTAGGATGAATTTTGTAAAAGATTTCATGACTGGAGAATTTCAGGAAAGGTATCAAAAGTCACAGGTACTTGGTGACAGGACAATTTTTTTAAGCCTTCCCCCTTTTTTTCAAAGTCCGTGGTTTTTTGTTTTCTGTTTTTCTGTATACAAATACTATAAATAAAGTGTATTTGCTATTTACTATCAATTCCAAGTTTATTATCAAGAGACTCTCTATATAATATATCAGTGACCGCCGTGGATAGTAAATTTGGAATTGATAATAAATAGCAAGTACACTTTATTTATAGTATATGTATTATCATTGTATACAGAAAAAAAACGCAAAAATAATTGTCAAAAGTACTTATGAAAATTGTGTGTAATTTTAAAACAGTCCTTAACGGAAGTCTTGTCTATGACTTAAGTCTGTCCGATGACGGAAATAATATCAGGATGCCTTTATTTTCGTTTTCCTCCCAAAATAACCCAAACTGAATAATCTTAAGCAAGAATGACAAATGCGACTATGCATGGTACCTATAGGACACAGATGCATGATGATCAATTCATTGTGGAAGGAAAAGAAGCTACACACATTGTCTTCTCATTTAATAGTATAGATATGCTCTTTTGGAAGATAGTTGAACCTTGCCATTTTTGGGAGTATTTACTTGCATAAGAGGTGCATAGCGTTTCCGGATAACTCCTCCTACAGTGAACCATTGAACTATTTGCTCAATTCTCAGTTTTGTGTATCTTAAAATAACACTTTGCATCTGCGGGTGCATCATTTGTGTCTCCCAGAAACAATAATATCTCAAAGAAAGTCCTACATTGACTTTGTTATAATACAGTTACTTCAGAGTGGAGTGCGGGTGCATCACTGTGTATAGTTATTAAATATTCTTTTGTGTATATTTACAAAACTAGTTTCACCCGATACATCTCCATATAGTAAACTTAAAAGAGAAGCCAACGATACCAATGGCACATTCGAACTCGTGATTAAAAAAAAATATAATCTGACAACGTTTTGACAAAAAAGAAAAAAAAAAAAAAAAAAAAAAAAAAAAACAAAGGACAAAAAACAACATATAAAACGTGTAAAACACAACACAGAAATCTAAAGACCGAGCAACTCGAACCCCACTTAAGGGAACTTGGAACTATGTGAATATGTAATTGTTTTTCCCGTAATTCAAAGGAAAGAACGTACGTTTTGAATACTATCTTTCTTCTGTTCTGTATTTGTGAATTATTTGACTAACATGTACCCGTCGTCAATTCAGTGTGTATATTTGAGATAAAGCAGAAAACTATTCTTATTATCATAAGAACAAATTTTTAATAGTTTAACTGCAAACAGAGAAAGCAATCAGACCGTTTTATGATGTGTAACTTAATGGAATACATTGATCATTTACATCTGTGATATCTTTATTTCATTAGTAGAAAAGATTGTTTCGTGTAGATATATGCAATATATTTGCTTTTTTTGCACAGCAGTATCACTCGTAGATGCATTTTAATATTAAACGGTCATTTAGACTTTAGCATCATCTGAAAACAAATCAGATCAAGTCTTGTTAAGAGATAAAGTTATTTTTCAGATATTCTCTTATAATATATACCCATATTCTGACAGTTTGCTCGCAGTCAATTACGTTCTGTTCAATACATGTATAGACAATGCAGCATGTTGTTGTTTCGAACAGATGAAAACAACTACTGAACAATGTAAACAAAGATTGAACAGATTTTAATGGAATTCAAGCACTGGCTTATTCAGTCTTTCAGGAGCTGTTCAGATCAAAATGACCGTTTCATTTACAAGACTTAGTGTATTTATGTTTCGTTAATTCATAATCAACATACGACAAAACAAATATATCTTAGATAGAATTACGTGGATTTAAGCAAATATATGGACCGTAAGGCCGTCACCAATGAGAAAAACCCTAATCACATTGACAGCTTTAATTAGCTTCAAAATGATACTTGACGATTGCTTTCAATAATTATTGTTGATTACATCTAGCTATGCCTTTTATGTGAACCAACCAATAACCTGAACCTTAACCATGACCGCATTTAAAACTTCAATACACATTTGTTTTCGATTAAAACAGTCTTATTTCAGATCTGAGTATCTTGCAACGTTGATCGAATATATTGCAATTGAAAAAATCAAACGCGTTTTACAATTCGAAATTAAATCATAAAAAAGTTTGATCTCAATTCGTAAAACTAAAATGTCATGGTTACCAGCTATGAAAATATTATACAATAAATAATATCAATTATTTTGATTCCACCAGAAGTATATTGTTAAAAGCTTAGTATTTCCATGTGTTTCAAACAATTCAATGTTAAAGAATCACTAACGATGACTTTGATTCCTTATGATATAACTATGGAACTGACAATTTTTATATTTTATAATCTCAAATTATGTTTACTATACATTACAACTGATATAACATCCTGTAAAGTGTGGATTCACAGTCTAATCCAAAACATCACGTAAATATTGACTGTAACATTGATTGTCGTTTCTTTCGCGTACAATTGGTTGATACATATTTTCATAGTTATTGCGATGCGATGCGAGTCTGTTGGTCTGGTTTGTAATAACTGCATCGTAGAATTGTTTTCTGTTACATTTTGCCTTGACACATTACTGTCTATAGAGTTACCGTCGTAGCTTTGGTCATGAACATCATCTACAGGTTGCTGAATGTTGTCCAATTCATAAGGTACTACGTCTATTTCATCGTATGAATTTTCTTGAATAACATCTAATCTGTTGGATCGTGATGATCGGATGAGACAATGGAAATGACTTACGCCAATGTATAACACTAGAAGAGCAGAAATACTAACAGATACCAAGAAATGAATTTTCATATGTCTGCTTTTATCTACTTTGTCTGCAAAAGGGCAAATAGAAAGGTAGAAGTTAATTAAAGTAAGACAATGTTATTTGAACAGGACATTTTTTTATGGTTGTTGATGGTTTTGTTGTGCGGGTTATAGAGTTTATATGTCTACATTAAATATACTATTTTGTTTTTATATCAGACTCTTTCTATGCCGTAAATAAAATCACACGCACAACTTGATTACATCTTCAATATAGATTGATTTTTAACTGCTTCGCTTTCCAAACCTGTATTTAAAACATCTTTACCCAAGATAACTAAAATTCATTGAATCATTTAACTGCCTACATATTTTTATTCCGATGGATAACTGTTCCTCAATATATAATTTAACGTGGTTTCATTGTAGATTTTTCTTTGTGTTTATGTTTTTGCTGATGGTTAATATCTTCGAATTATGTGTTTTGTTTACCTACCTGGAATCTTCGTCGTTGAAAAAAATAATCAAATCAAACTTCATTACCACACCGGAAACATACAATATTTCTCGATAAGATCTGTTTTGCTTACATGTTTAGGTATATAGTCACTTCTCACGGTATACGATATCTTTATTACTTACCTAAAGCTATAATTTTGTACATATAAAATGATTCCCCAAAACTGTTTTTTGCCCACAAATTGTAAACAGTAAAATCTTCATTTGTCAAAATGTTTTTTTCGTATATAACTTCATAACCTGGAATCTTTTCTTTGGTGTCGTATTCCGTATAAGATAAAAGACTTTTCATAGTTTGATCTGTTCCGACATTTTGATTCGTTGAATGATTACCAAATTTCTTCTGGGGTCGCAATTCTTGTAAAATCGGGAAACTGTATATTATGAATTTCATTAAAAATGGCTTTCCTAGTTCTCCATATAAAACATTAGTATTTTCGTTCGAAAACACTGGTCGTCCTATAATTATAAATTGTTCAACCATATATTTAGGAATAATAGAGTGATACATATATCAAAAAAAGATCAGCAGTATTTCAATCAATTTGTTGACGGACAGAGAACACAAAGACTAAAAGATGCGAGCCTTAAATACAAATAAATTTACAGAGCTAAACACAAACATGGTCGAAAAGCTTAACACAAACAATGTAAGATGGCTCATATAAACCAATCAAAGACCATCGGGTAAGCTACTCTTCTAGTGGTTTTGTCATTCTGCTGCTTACGAGTAATGTCAAAGGTAATATGTGCAACCCAATGAATAATATGAATAAATATGTATTGAAAGCTACCAAACTACAAAAGTTCACAGGCAAACACTTATCATTAACAGCGTTAAAGGATAGAAGAAGTCTTTTTGAAAATAGCAGCATAAAATGTTTTAACACGAGTTTTGTGATTACCATTATTCTCAAATTTCAAAATCATGGTCAATTTGTCAAAGTACCAGATTATTAATGCATATGTACAAACGTGATCAATACCTGAATGTTTGAAAATCGTAGATTTATTATGAATTGCAAATCCATCAACGTCAACTACACCATTACTAGCTTGACAAACATATATTCCATTGGTTTCATATGGAATATACGACTTTAGCAGTAATAACTTATCACTTGAAAATGAATGGATTTCTCGAATGTGCACACCAAACACAGACTGATGCTCTAGCTGGAAAAGATTGTTTGAAGCAGGAATTCCTTGGTGTAAAATGCATTCAATAAAATCTTCTGATACGACTAGTTCAACTGCAGGCGGATCTAATTAATTTAAAGGAAATAATTTTAAATGTAATATCATAATTGTTTTTGATTTATACCATGGCGAATCGTACGAGACCTTAGGAACGCTTAACATCCAATGTCACCAGAGCAATAATGAACTCAGTATGGAAATTGAAATGTTCAATAAATACACATATAATGAAAAACAGAAAACAGGAATATGTCCTGTTTCCTTTCTTAACTTGTACCAAAAAAAAGTGTTGGTAAATTGCCTGTTAATCATGTTTTGGTAATATGAATAAAGAAAGGCAACAGTAGTATACTGCTGTTCGAAAGTCATAAAACGATTAAGTCAAAACAAATCCGGGTTACAAATCAAACCGAGGGATACACATCAACTATAAAAGGAAAACAACTGAAATATTTGTCTACTAAATTCAAAAGTCAATTGTCAAAAGCTTATTCCAAATAAAGGTGTTGAATAATTAGATTGTGGTCATAAAAAGACTTTTTTTTTCAAAAATGGTATTCAATAGTAAAAAAAATATAATATTAAAGTAAATCATAATAAAATAAAACCGTCATCGGTAATTTACTATAAAAGTATTTCGGTTGTTTTTGTCTCATGTATGATAATATTATCAAATATGAATGAAAATACATTTTGTAAAGTAAACTTTAATAAATGCTTATGCATTTCAAATAAATGGTTAAGAAGTAACGGTTTCAAAAGAAATATAAAGTATTATCAATTTAATTTACATTGAATGGTAATGTTTACTGTTGAACTACTGTTTCCAATTCTGTTTGTTGCTTGGCATTGATATACTCCGGTATCATTTCTGGTTACAGTTTGTAAAATGAACGCTTTGTTCGATTGATGTAGGTTTAACAGATTGCCATTTTCATCTAAATAAAACCATTCAACATTAACATTCGTCTCATCGTCAACTGTACATGTAAGATTCAATCGATGGCCTTCTACTAGTTGTAAGGATGACCCTTCTGCAATGTGCACTTTGGGATAATCTGAAAAAAAAAGATAGATGATCAGGGTTATAATGAATATCTACCTAACAATACTAAATAATAATTCGGAATTCGGATTTCAGATGAAAACAATACGTATAGAAAAACTGATTAAAACAACAAACAAAAAACAGCGATGTACACAGAAACCATTGATTACTTAAGATATGTGTACACACAAAACTTCGTTATCGCAAGTACGCATAAATTTCCAATTCCATGAGATCACAATTTTTATTATAGATTTTCGCAGACAAACAATACATCTAAAATCTGTTGGTAACTGATTTACTTGCATTAGTTGAGAAATTTCCAAACAACAAGATATATGTCATTGTCAGTAGCAACCAACAACAACAATATAATGTTTTGTTGATAATTTTGATAGTAAAAATTTGCATTTCGAAAAATAATGTGTTTTTAGTGATGCCTGAGGCCAAACGAATATAAAATGCATACCCTACGTCAAAATTTGAATAACAGATGCAGCCTTAACCTGGCCAAATAAGAAAGGAAATCCGGACAAGAAATACTATTAAGTAATAATAAAGAAATTGTATGTGTAATAAAGTCTTTTGATAGCCTGAATTATTCACTTGTCATTTTTTTGTGTAAATCTTGCATCAATGAATAGTTTTGATATTTAATAGATATAAGAGGATGTGGTATGAGTGCCAATGAGACAACTCTCCATCCAAGTCACAATGTGTGAAAAGTAAACAATTATAGGTCAAAGTACGGCCTTCAACATGGAGCATTGGCTCACACCGAACAGCAAGCTATAAATGGCCCCAAAATGGCTAGTGTAAAACAATTCAAACAGGAAAACCAACGGTCTAATCTATATAAAAAAACTAGAAACGAGAATCACTAATGAACTACATCAACATATTATTGCACAGACGATCAAAATAATTTGTTTGCACAGTAGTCTGTTAAGACTTTGAATGAATAAATAGATAAATTAATAATAATAATAATTATAAAAATGATAATACAAATTATAATAGAAATAATATTAAAAAATAATAGGTTATGATGATAATATATCTAGGATCCCGACTACTGAAACATATAGAAGAAAACTATCATTTAACGGTGTAAAAGGATGAATGTTTAGTTGTTTAGTTATATCAGAATATAACTTTTCGCAAGGCTGGTATGTAGTTTTATTGAGGAACCAATTTTAAGTAGTTTTCTAAGTATATTCGATTAAATACTGTAATGCCTCTTCAACATACAATACCATAACAATTTTCAATCTTTATACTTGCAAATCTGGTTTAACCCTTAATAAGTTATGTGCTTAAATGACTTCATAACTATTGTTCGCTTTTGATAATTTTTTTGATCTGGCAAATTGAATATTGGTGTCATAAATAGTTCCCTATTTGAATCAAAAATTGATAGGCTCTTGCGACATAGAAATTGCTATTGAAAAATGTATGATGTCATCTAAGAAGAACATTAATTTTCAAGTAAATGGCTTGTTTGCCATTCAATTACTTGTATTAATATCTATTTTGAATTAACGCTGCTCGGTGTGCTAAAATTGGTTTATCCCAACCACACTCTGTACATATCCCATATCAGTATATTTTGAACATGTTTTATTCTTAGTTGTTTTGTTATTGCACGTGTTTTTTAACAAGGCTGTTTGCTGGTGTTGTCTGTTGTACTAAAATTATATTTTTTCGGGTTTTAGGTAAAGCGTGTTATCTTCCTTTTGTACTATTTCATTTGTAATTATCATTTTATATTCTGTTTTAAAGACACCTCCAATGTGTTTCTGGTTTAAATACCATTATTATACTCATGATACTGTAAACTATCAAATGTTGACATTTGTATGTTTGTCTTTCTCTTCTGAAATTCTTGTCTATAATATGAACAATATAAATTTCTTTAGTAAATATGAAAAAACAATAATTAATGAAGAAACTTACTTAATACATGTAACTCTATATCATATCTAGAACCGTCTAAAGACCATTTACAGACATAAGTTCCAGCATCGTCTAATGTTAAGTTTTTGATTTGCAGTTGAAACCACTTTGATCTTTCCTTATTTAAAATCATATACTTTGGGGTATTTGCTAAGTTGACATATATCCCATTTTCAAATTGGAAAATAACATCAATATGCAAATATTTTTCGGAATCAAATAAACACCATCCATTTCCTGTCCTTTTTTCATCCTTGGGAAATGTAAGCAATGCAGTTGATCCTTCCTTTTGGTAAATGATATTTACTGCACTCATAATAACTTGAAAATAATTAATACGTTTTATATATATCAAAATATGTATTTCGCTCATAAAAGTACACTGATTTCATGTATTCAAATAAACCTGACAGTGCGTTTCAATACTTCAATATTCTAATTAAATTGTGTAAATACAGATACAATGAAAACATATAAAAAGTGCAAATCCCATTAAAAAAATATTTTTAAATGAGAGCGTCTACAATTCTTAGGATAATTAATCGGGTTACCACTTTTTTCAAATTTTTAGACTATCTAACTCCAAAGTTTACATCAGGTGGACTTGGATATTTGTTTGATCACAATGCTTTTCAAGTTGTCAATTATTATATAATCATTTACTAACCAATTTCAAAGCGCTATTTTTATTTGTCAGCACTTGGCCGATACCGCAGTTAGTGGAGTATAAGCATGTTAAGGGTATCGTCAGCTAAATAGTTTTTTCGTTGATACATACATGATTAATAACTTATTTTACTTGAATTCTAAATTTCTTATTTTATGATTCATTTAGAAACTAAGGTTCTAATTCTTAAAAAAAAACAAGTTAAACGTATGTCCCTTTTGTTGCTTGACTCCTAAAATCTTCGAGAATTATGCATTCTTGCGTTTTGAATACTGTTCAACGAGTAGCAGAACAATACATCAGCACCACATCGGTGTTGATCGGTTCGGAGTTTAATACTTTCCGAAATTTTAAATTAAGAATAAGTTTATCATCTAACTATGTTGCATTTAAAAGGATGAAAGAAGCAAATACTAGGATCTATATCCTTTAATTAGATATAAGAAGATGTGGTATGAGTGCCAATGAGACAACTCTCCATCCAAGTCACAAATTGTGAAAGTAAACCATTATAGGTCAAAGTATAGCCTTCAACACGGATCCTTGGCTCACACCGAACTGCAAGCTATAAAGGGCCCCAAAAATGACTAGTGTAAAACCAATCAAACAGGAAAACCAACGGTCTAATCTATATAAAAAACGAGAAACGAGAGACACTTATGAACCACATCAACAAACGACAACCACTGAACATCAGGTTCCTGACTTAGGTCAGGTGCAGCAAATGCAGTGGGTTTAAACGTTTAAATAGGCTCCAACCTTCATCCTCACCTGAAACAATAGTGTAACATCACAACATAGAAAGACACACTATAAAATATCAATTGCAATTGCTTAACTTAATCAATTGACATATTAACAAAAACAAGTGAACATACACTGAACGAATAAATTTGATATATGACACAATGTAAATACAAAATTAATAAAACAAGGGGGTTAGATGTAAAACAATATCAGAAAGACAACCATAACCTTGGACAACATACCGCTAAATAAAATAATGTACACAGGTAAATAAAAAAAAATTGTTGTAAGGTATACATGGAGTACGGAAATATTTTTTTACAAAAAAAATAATTTTGTTGTTCATAGTACGAGAACTGAAGTGAAAATTTATCGTCATACTAAACACTTATCAAAAGTGGTACATATTAAAAATAGTGAGACGAGATATAACACTAAATAAGTAAACATTAAATAACAAAAATACATTACAAATTGTAATAATACAAAAGTACAATATGAGAGTACTCGCAGTTACTTAAAGCTAGTTAAAAGCCACAAACAATTAATAATAAAAACTCATGCATCAGACTAAAATCAACTAAAATACATCCCATGGATAAATTGTTTTAACGTCATAGACTGTCAAAGAAGACATGGCTTGTGCAATGTCAAAATAAAAGTCTCGATAGGCAGAAGGATAGTTAGGAGTTAACCGTTTAATAAATATGTATAATGTTATATATAGATAGAGTAATCTCTATATAAATAATGAACGTGGATGTGTATTTATACATCCCAAAAAAAACGTTTGAAAAGAATACAAATTTAGTTATGTTTTAATTTGCTGATGACAAAATCGATATTTGTGCCAATGTAAACTTTATTTAAAGATCTAATTACAACATTGTTTAGATAACCTTTACTAATAAGTTTGTTTAAAGGTTCGATCAATTTACACGGATCAAATAGTGATTTCCGCGCTTTTAGTACAATATTATCGTAAAATTCAGGATGTGAAATACCGTTTTTAATCAATTTTCTACAGGTACAGCCAAATTTACTTATCAATTTTTTGTATCTATGAAAGAATTTAGTAAAGTTTTTAAGTAATTTATAGTAAAGAAATCCCTGACTTAATAATTTACCAGTGATGCATTGATTATGTTCTTTCAAATCTATGACATCACCACACACACGGGCATAACGAACGAGTTGGGATATATAAACACCGTATGATGGAGCCAAAGGAACATCGCCGTCTAAAAAAGGAAAATTAACAATAGGGAATGAAAAATCGTCTCTTTTGTCGTAAAAATTAGCATTGAGTTTCCCTTTAGAAATAAAAATGTCTCATTCTAGAAAAGGACAACTACTGCTGTTTATGTTAGATTTATTAAAAGTAAATTCCTTTGGGTAAATTTCGTTAGTATATTTAGAGAAGTCTGGATTAATTAACGAAGAAATATCATCAAGATAACGGTAAGTATTGTTAAAAGTAACAACCAAATGTAACAATGACGTATCTTCACTAAGATTGGTCATACACTGAGATTTATAGCAATACAGGAATAAATCTGCTATTAAAGGGGCGCAATTAGTGCCCATAGGAATACCTACTACCTGTGGATAAACTTTATCGCCGAAACGTACATATTTGTTGTTCAGGAAAAAATGTAAAGCTTCAATCATATCTTCACATTTCCAGTAAGTGTATCTAGCATACTTTCCTTTTTCATTACAGAAAAGGGCTTTAAATGAGTTACAGCAAATAAAATTTCAATGAGATTTTTCAAAAGACCATTTAGTTAGATATGAAAACTTTTTCTTGATAAGATTGCGTGGAAGTGTAGTGTAGAGAGTAGACAAATCATAACTGTCAACAGAATTAAAAGGACCATCACAAGCACGTATTTTATCTAAAACATCTAAATAATTCTTAACACTACAAAAATAATTAATACCATAATTTTCGTAAGCTTTATTACAAAAGTTAATAACAAGTTCTTTGATAATAGTTAGGGAGGTAGTAAGAAGCACTGTTAGATTAGTAGTATAACACTTACTAGATGCGGAGATGAAACGGAATTTCAATGGTTGTTTGTGTAATTTAGGTAACCAGTACATATCGGGACTTTCAAATTTTCGGAAGAGGCTTTAAGCTTGGTAGTGGCAGTGATATGCTTGTTTATAATTTGACTATCTGTGGAGCTGAATGTAGACGAATTGATAATCCCGTTTTGGAGAACTTTCGTGTAGTATATGCGTCACACCACCACTACATTATTGGCTGCTTTGGCTGCCGGTACGAACACAAACCGCTTTGCGATTACTTGGAGTTTATTTTTAATTCTAGAAATGGGTATATCATGGACCCTATTATTAATTTTAGAATTGTTTTCAAAGTGAGATATACGAATATCAACAGTATTCATAATTTTACTCAAAGAACTGTCTGGAGATTTTTTATCAGATTTTTCACGTTAACACTTATTTTTACAGTAGGCAGACAAAGTGTTTTTAATGCCCTGACGAAACTGTTCCCAATCTATTATAGATGGAGGACGATATTTAGGTCCTTTCTTAAGAAAAGTTTTGACCACGCGTTCTTCGACGATGTTGAGGTCTCCTGTAATGACATGACCATAGGGAACATATCTAAAACTAGATGTTTCAAAGTCTCAAGTGGAAGGAGCATTATTTTCTATATTGACGTCTGATGTAACTGACGTATAATTAAAAATCAAACTTCTGCTGTTTTTTTTATAAGAATACGAAATAACAGGTGGTTCTGTATTATCAAAATATGGAGGTATTTGGCTATGGATGGTAGAGTCATTGAATATACTAGATAAGTTAATTAAATCAATACCTCTATTTATATATTTTAATTTAAGAAAATGCTTTTTATGATTTTCAGGTTTATCGATACTAGGAAACAGCCCGTGATGACAAAGGGCTGTAATAATGTGGGTGTATTCATACAACGGGCTAAAAAATGAAATTTCTTCACACTCCTGAAAAATAGCATATAATTTACTTATTGGTATATGACCCAGTTTCCATAATACTTGATGTCTACCATAATTTATTATTATAGATAACAGATCAACAAGTGTATAATTTATACGATGTTTAATACGTTGACTACGGTATTTGCGTTTACCATGAGACCTATTATTTCTTAGTCGTTTATCGACAATATAAATGACATCGATAGAAGTTTTAGAAATGTTCCCCTGTCCCAATATTTTGTCATTGGGACCGAGAGGATAAGCTGTTTGACGTTTTTTTATACAAAACTTCACGGGATTTTTCAAATTACTTGTGTGATTGTCCTGGTTGTTTCTGAACGGTTTCAAGTGGTTGAAATTTTATAAATTTTAGAATGCGATTATGCTTATCTAAATGTTGGCACATCAAACTTTAGAACTTTTTAGGTCTTCAAAAGCGGTAAAGGTGAGCTTGATTTCTTCTGTAATATTCTCGTCCCGTCCGTCCCACATATTGAATACCACACTTATGCTGGATTCAAGTTACCACGTATATAAGGTTTTGAGTTTTTCAGGTAATGTCACAAGAAAAGGAGAGTGAAAAAGCTCTCCCGTTCACTGTTGACCTAACAGTATTTTTTGAAGTTAATCTAAAACAGGTAAGTCATTTTTTGGAATTATGTGGATATCCACGTGCCTTTTTGTTTAACAATCTGACTGTAGATGCATTACAAATACGTGTGTTTAAGCACGTGGATATCCTAGAAGTTGGGTTGTTATTTAATTTCTTTCCATTACGTAAAATCATGATAATTTAAATAGGGGTATAGGTAAAATAAAAAAAGACCGGAGGTTGTAACATTGAATAACGATCACAATTACGGAATATGAAATAATAGGCAAAGCAGTAAAAGAACTCTTACAAAAACTGACGTAAAGACTTCTGAATAAGTAATACAAAACAGACATACAACAAACACAGGGCAAAAACAGAGATTGTAAGAAATCTAAGTACTAAATTCCATTTGATGTAAAGTTATTTAAAATATCTTGTACAACGTCAGAGCAGCTACATGTATATATGTGTGCCAGGTTACGAATGTATAACTGTTGTTGTATATGTTTTGAATTGATAACTGTTGTTGCATATTTTTATTTAACAAACTATAGGTCCATTTTGGTTTTTTCATATCTTAAACGTTTGTTGTAGATAAAAAAATAAAAGCAACAGTAGTATACCGCTGTTCGAAACTCATAAATCGATAGAGATAAAAACAAATCCGGGTTACAAATTAAAAATGAGGGAAACGCATCAAATATAAGAGGAGAACAACGACACAACAAAAACACAACTTAAAAATGTAACACACACAGAAATGACCTATAATATAACAATGGCCATTTCCTTGACTTGGTACAGGACATTTTAAGAAAAAAATGGTGGGTTGAACCTGGTTTTGTGGCATGGAGATTTTAGATTAACAAATATTTAGAACATTTCAGAAGAGACATTAATCATCCAATATAAACTCATCATAGATACCAGGCTTACAATTTTAAAGTACTAAGCTGAAGAGCAATAAGGACGAAGACATTTCCATTCTCAATTTTATCAGAAAGGTTTTTGTCAAATACAGTCATGATAATCTATTCCTGGATAGAATATCCGCATCTGGTGATGAAATTGGTATCTTTTATGTTATTAGAGATAATTCACGTTAATTCATTCCGTTCAAAGCAAATATATATGTAACGGAACTAGCTATTTGAAGCAAATTTTAGCTTGAGACTCTTCTACACATCTATATTAAAATTACTGCATTTATAGCATGAGAACGACTGCTGTAATTCACATACCTATCATTTGATTCAGCCATATCATTTGTAAAAGTGTCACCTAAAAATAAACATAATGATGAATATCTTCACAATTTCAAAGTCAAAGATATTGTTATGAACAATCAATTTGAAAACAAAATAACAAACATCATAATACTGTTCAATGTAATGTCAAATTTGAATTTCCAAATGCTAGTATCACAGTTTATTTATGACAGTCATTATTTACTAAAGTATTATAGGTTAACATTTGAGGTGTGAATTTTATATACATTACTAAAACATAAGATGGTTTTATAAAATGTAAGAAACATGTTTATATTTTACAATTTGTTTATGTACAAAGTCTCCGATTTATTTTGATTTCAATTAAAGTGGTTTTACTTGTTATTAATATTTGTATACTAAGATAACAGCGAACATTTTTTTGCATTTGATTATCGCAATTTGTAAGGAGGTATTTTAGGTAAAAGAAATATGTGTTCTTGTTGTCAAATGAAAAACATTAAATAAATGATTTACTTACCATTATTTACCACTATATATATTGTAGTGTGCGTGATCAATGGATTTCTCCTTCAAAATACTTCCTTATCCAGATAAATGTAATTAACAATAGTTTCCTGTTATAAATCGGAAATTGAACAGTCATAATGTCCTGTGATGTTTAATCTATTCATACATATTTGAATGAAAGTATAGACTTGGATAAATTAGTAAAGTTGTGAAGAATAAAATGATACTAGTTTGCATAAATAACAACTCTCCTGTAGACCTCAGCAAAGACCTTAGGAAAAGTCTACTAGCACATTTCATAATGTCATATCTATATCAAGGGTCAAATTTTTCAAACATGCTACCCTATGTTATTATATTTAAGGTGCAAATTAAAACATTTGTTCATTCAAAAAAGACTGTCTGAGTAATTGAAATACACAAAAAGATTCGTCAGTGTTTATGATTTGATTTTTTCACGACACCATACAACACTACAAAAATGAAAATGGAACAAATATATGGAATATTTAAAAATCAATTCATGTAGGTATTTACATGTTCATGCACGGGAAATACATGTATTGACAAATTCAAGTTGTTCATGCTATTTTAATGTTATTGAAGTTTATAAATATAAACATACGAATTATAATTTTTTTTTTAATTTTTTTAAATTAAGGAATGTATCTCCCTCATGAAAAGCTCTTCAAATATTTTGGCCTCGAGCATCACTGAAGAGACATTGATTGTCGAAATGCGCATCTGGTGCAGAAAAATTGGTACCGTTTATGTTACTACTACCACTGGGTCGATACCTATGCTGGTGGACTGATAGTCCCCGAGGGTATCACCAGCCCAGTAGCCAGTACTTCGGTACTGGCATGAAAATACGGATTTTGTGTTATTAAATTTTGAATTTATTTGAAATTAAGGAATGTATCTCCAGCATGCAAAGCTCTGATTCCTTGCCCGGCTTTGGCTATACTTTGTTGTCCTTTTTGGTTTCAAGCTCTTCATCCTTTTAATAAGCTTTGGATTTTCAAATACTTTGGCCTCAAGCATCACTGAATAGACATTGATTGTCGAAATGCGCATCTGGTGCAGAAAAATTGGTACCGTTAATGTTATTGGTAATGCAGTATACAGTACTTGTATATACGTCAATGACACATCAAATCAGTATACAGTATAGTTATACTTTGTTGTATAATTACACAATCAACATAATTGCGACAACTCTGCAAATAGAATAAATACTCAAATCAATATTATAAATTTGAAGAAAAAAATAATTTTGTTTGAAGGCAGGTAAATGATATGTATGCAGAATAAACATTGTCTTAACATGGAAATTTATTTGATTTCAACAAAAAGATTTATTTGTTAATAGATATTTGTTATACCAATACATTTATGTAAAGTAGCTGCTGGAATACAGGTTTCAAAGTTTTTTTTTTTAATTATACATGTTGACTAACGTTTTCCGTTCACAATGTCCACGAACTGTTTGATAAAACTTAAAACAAGATTTCAACTCAATTAGTCAAAGTTGACATCTGACGGATGTCGCGGTTCCTTACCGCTAAATGGTTTTCGATGATCGCATATTTTAGAAGAGCATACTATCAGATAATAACATTGACAGTACTATATTTAGTGCACCAGATGCGTAATTTGACAATAAATGTCTTTTCAATGATGCTTCAGGCCAAAGTATTTGAAAATCCAAAGTTTACTAAAAATATAATGGTTAATTGTCAATATCTTGCGTCTATATGTTGGACAATATGCAATCTCTCAAACGTATCCATTTTCCAAATGTGTCCATATTACAGAAATAAATCAACTTTGCCGTGCCATTTAAATCACATATCGCCCAATTATTTAAATGTCTCACCTTTCCACAAACCTGTCATATCAGATTACTTTCATTTCTTGATCGTGTCAAAATTATGACCTTACTAGTACTCAGATACTCCTTCCGAATGGATTAAGGCTGTGATGTCATTGATACATATTAGAATAAAAAAACTAAATAGGTCTATAAATACACATGCTACATCTAAGTTTAAACACCAAATGTTGTGAAGCAACTTTCCTAACTCCATAACAAATAGGCTATATATACCTCAGATAAAGCCACCAACAACATCGTTGTTGTGTGTTAATCACATTACATGAACTGTGTAATCAATGAATTAGTTTAATGAACTCAACATAAACCCCCAGGACACATACCAAGGAGGTAATACTAATGGGTTTGTTCGATGTTTCTTTAGAATTTCAACCAAAGATGAAGAACTGGATCTTCCTTCTCTGTATTGGATACCTAGATTGCATAAGTATCCTAACAAAAAGCGTTATATTTCTTGGTCTTCCAAGTGTTTCACGAAACATCTTTCTAAATTATTACCATCAATTTTATCAGCAATGAAAGCCTGGCTTCATAGTCATTGTAAAATTATCTATTCTAGGGTTTGAGTGTATCAGATGTGGATACTAAAAAAGTCCAAAGATTTGTTACAGTAAATACAATCTAAGGCTCATTCAACCTGCAATAGTATCAATCTATTTTTTTTTATTTTTCTAGACTTCACACGTCAAGTGATTCCTATTCCAAACTAAAAATTAAAAAAAAAAAAAATCTTTAGCTTGCCAATTGTAAAGTTTCGATTTCTATGTAGCTACATTCCAGAAGGGCCTTGTATATGGAATATATATCTCCCAGCAGATTCTAGATTCAGGAGCTTGCATTTGATAACATGATTCACTTGTTAGAGTGTTTCTGCTCACAAGGAATCGATCAAACCAAGAGTTCCATGTGGTTTAGTTGAAATCATCCCTTCGAAAATTTCACAGCCGTCATCACGAGTTCGTTGATCGTTACGGAAAGTCTGTTTCACAGATGACGACGGATATTTCCCAATTGTCGTAACCATCACCCGGTCATATTTTCCTCGAATTTGACTTTCCGAATTTGATGTATCTCCGGTTTTTGTACATGAGGACGACTGGTGCTCCCTGCACAGCAAAATCTGCTAACACCCAGGTTTTGGTGGGGTTCGTGTTGCTCATTATTTCATTTTCCATGTTATGTTTTGTATACTGTCTTTTTGTCTTTTTTTTTTTATTTTTCGCCATGGCGTTGTCAGTTTAATTTCGACTTATGGCTGTGAATGTTCCTTATCTGTCATTTGCTAAGATACGTCACAGCTGTAAAATGTGTTTTTTTTTTCCGACGTCAGAAGCGTTGCGTTTCCACTGATTATCATATTATCAACGGTACCAATTTTTGTGAATTTTAATGCGCATTCGACAACTAACGTTTTTTTCCAGTGATGTTCAAGGCTGAATATTCTAAACAGGACCAACATTCTATCCACATTCAAATAAGTTAGCCAAGCTTTTCAGTTGGGAGATAATTATTTTAATTATATTATATTTCACCCAAAAAAGATGTCTTTTTAGTGGTAGTTATAACATTAACAGTACCTAGGTTACGCATTTTAAAGTTTTGTGTGTACTGCCCTTCCTGCAATGTTGTCTTTAACACTTGTTCTATTTATTAACTGTGTCGGTTCAATTTTCATTTTATGTCCTTCATTTCGCAATTATATGAAAGTAAAGGAAAACCTAATAATGGATTTTTCAATTATGGAATACAGATCTCTTCAAAGGTTCTTTGGTGCAACAAATGGGACAATGAGGTAAAACATCTATGAACAAGGTCATCTTTATTTCTTATTAAGGCATACTGTTGACTTAAATATACAATTATTGAATTCTTTATATAATTCAAGTAGTATTATGAATAAGATAAATGCATGTTAAGCAATGGCTACTGATTGTAATTTGGATAGACAAGTGCTCAAGACGTAGAAATCTGTACACAGTGATTAATTGTATAACAGGATATCATCGAACAGAAAGAGTGGAAAATTAAAATACATTTTTACTAAGGTTGAGTTATTTGCTGAGCAGTACAAACATCCCTCTTCTACTAGTTCCAAGTATGCCTTACTATTTTATTATCCTTCCTTATTTTGCACCTGATCCCGGCCTATGTTTACCTATATATTGACATTTCATTGTCTTCGACTTTCATTAACACAATATTACGTTTTATACCTTAGTGTAATTAATTTAATGCCTAAAATTTCTCTTGAAATATTCTGATTATGAATATGAACATGAATATTGAATTAACGTTAATAGAGTGGACACTTTCCTGTGTATCCATAAGGGGACACGATATATATTTAGACAAACACTGTCATCAACGTCGCACGTTTGGGGGACATGTTTCTAGTCTTTACATATGTATATAAATTATGATGTTCCACAACAAAGTGCTGATGCACCCAGAATGGAGAAGTCAAACAAGTGCAACATCGAGGGCTGAATACCTGATAGCAACACCATATAATAAGATATAGATTGCACTTAAGTATTTTGGGGAGTTAAAAAAGATTTATTGATTATTAAAAAATGATCAATGACACTTGGTTTTCTGTTTGGTACATTAACAATTCGTTTTTAATAAAAACGTACTATTAAACATACCGAACCTTAAGGTTAGTTCAATATTGATGCTGAAGCAATATGTAAGATTTAAGTTGTCTTTTGAATTTGTTACAAACAAACAATTTACAGCTGTACTGTACTATTGATTGTTGTTTAAGAGCGACACCTATAGCTAGGATTGCAGTTAAATTCCCGGACAACTTTTTCTGTAAACTTGGAGAAGAACATTGACACATAACTATATCTCTTTCATCCGTTCTATTGATTTCAAATGGATACAAATTGGCAATGTAATCTTTTGCATTCCATATTTAACCGTTTAAACATTGATAATATAACCTTCAAATCACGCAAATGCTCCCGACATTTCATAGTGTACATACTCACATAAATCTGTTTCAAGTTTTATAGCTGCACTGATTGAATTGTAAATGAAATAGACACATTTACAGTCCTTATTGGCCTGTAAGGTACACTTTAATACCTGTTGAATGTTGTTAACACAGTAAATATAATCTGTTTGTATATGCTTATGCGAAATTATTATGACATGTGG